GTTGTACACATAGTACAGAAAGAGCTCAGTATATCTCAGAAGCTGGATTACCTTCAGAGAACTTGGAAATTGATTATGCTACACTAGGAAGGAGTACAAGAATGCTAGGAAATGGAAGCTATTAGAATTTGAGTATGAACAGTTATACAAACATTCTGCCATTTTCTATATTTCAAATATATCCACTAGTACAGCAGGCATGCTCTACAGACAGTGAGTATGAATTGAGAACTCTAGAGGAAGACTTATACATGTTTAGCAAAGAATTCAATGCTCTACAACAGGTATCAGGCATAGGAAAGTATGATTTGAGACTGTCATTACACTCAGACTACATAGAAGTACAGATTCTATTTGTATATACTCTAGCAAGAGTAAAAGAGTATTCAATACAAAGATACAGACACAGGAACAGACATTTCTACTGTAACAATAAAGAAACAGTATGTTTTGGTACACAGAGATACTTTGAGAAAGGAATATTATATCTTCCAGATTGGAAATGTGACAAGACACTCAGGAGTCAACATTAGCATGATATATTCTATATACCTAAACACTCAGAGACACATTTAATGAGTAAACACTATTGCAAGCAAGCAAATGAGTACTCATTTAAGGACAAGAATGCTTTTTTACAGTATATTGACACAGTATAACAGTATATTTCATTCAGGAACACATCATATTCATTCATGGACATAACTGATGATTGGAGAACCTTAGCACCAGAGAACAATTTTGATTCTGAATTGTTTGAGTGTATACATGAGCTTTCAGTCAATAAGAAATACTCATCATGTGATGATACATACAGCTACACATACAACTACTTATACAGATCAGTATATTATACATATATGCACCTAATAGCCACATATTTCAGCAATTTTGACACAGTTGAACATTATACAGTGTATACAAAGGATCATAAGGTATTCATGATAAATTCCACAGGATCTACAGTTGGAATTAGCAACAAAATCATGACAGTGACAATGAATACTTTAGTACTAGTAGATTTCACACACACTAGAGTTGTGGACTGAATTAGTGTTAGAAAAGTCATTCTAGGCAAAACACTACTTACTCAATCAAGAGTACACAGGTTAGGATCAAGGATAAACTACTGTACCATTGTAAGTGTCAGCAACAGTATAGAGGGGACCTGAAGGCTCAGCAAGGGGACCCAGGCTACAACTATCCTACACAACAGAAATACAGAATGTGAGCACTAGAATGTAGTCAGAACTTGTGGAACAGGCAGAGAGAGAGAGTGAGACAAGAGTAGAGTATATAGAGTGAGCCTAAGAGTACAGGACTACCTAGAGTAGACAAGATCAAGACTATAGGACCAGTCTGATCTCATACACCTATATATACTAAACTACACAAGAGTACTCAGGGAGTATGAGCCACTTAAGAATGATAAGCCACAAAGAATGAAAGAAAGGAATGTCAAAGATAAAGGTACAAAGAATGAAGGGATGGACAAAGGGTAAGAGACTATAGAATGAACAAAGAATGAAGGGGTGGTCAAAGGAATGGAATAATGAAGTAAGGAAGGGTAGTAGCAAGAGTCAGTATGTATATAGTCTATAGACAGTACTCCTAAGGGACAGAAGTCCTGAGTTCTGGTACAGAAGGGTGCAGAACCCTTAGAACTGAAGGTACAAGAGCAGAGAACTGTAACATCACCCCCCCTCTAAAACCAATTGTCCCAATTGGTGAACATTAGGCTTGGTTAGCAGCTTGAGTATAAGTCAGAACAGTAGGGTTTGGAAATCTGTGAGGCAGAGTTGATACAGAGTACCTGGATGAAGTCAATAGAAGTCTCAGATTGTCTTAGCAGTATGGGTGAGATTCTCAGCAGGTTCCTAAGTGTGTTCTTCAACTAGGTATCCCTTCTAGTAGATAAGGAACTTGAGCTTTCCACACACTAGCTTGGCATCTGCTACATACTCTACTTTGTATTCCAGTTTGGAACTAATGAGTTCTAGTAGAGACAGTAGGGGTCTTTGTTACAAAGGAAAACCTGGATTGTAGTACTAAGACAGTAGAACCTTGTTAAATACTGAGTATATATACTTCCATGTTGCTAGAAGTTAGAGTTTGTAGGTAGAGACACTGACCTTCTTTTTAATAACAAAGGGTCTGAAGTGCTTGTTGTCCAACTTCTTCATTAAGCAATCTGTGGTCAGGTTAGTAGCTTCTAGCATAACTTTGTCACTAGGCTAGTAATCCTTGGCTGCAGACCTCTTCCAGTCATAGTTCTGCTTCATAACCTACACTACCTTTTCTAAAAGAGCTTGTGTATCCTCTCTGGTTCTGTGCATCTGTTCTACAAAGTCTGTTACAGATTCAGAACTGCTGTTCCAGTTTGGAACTGTCCCCTAGTACAGATGTCTCCTATGATTGAGGAAGAACAGGGACTGTCCTATTGTAGAGTGTTACTAGTTATTGTGCACAAATTCTGCCAGAGCTAGCCATTCAGACCAATCCAATTACTGATGATTGATAAACATCTGAAGGTAGAGCTTGATCTCCTGATTGACTCACTCAGTTTGACTGTCAGTCTGTGGGTGATAGACAGTAGAAGGGTTCCCTTGAATTCTAAGAAGTACATACAAGTCTTACATGAATTTTGACTCAAATTACAGTCCACAATCATGAATGAGCTTCCAAGGGAGTCTGTGTAACTGGAAGACATAATCCTGATAAATGCACACTATGCCTTCAGAAGTGAGTTCTGTTCAGGTCAGAACTGTATAGACTTGCTTAGAGAATCAGTCAACAATCACACAGATAGTATTGTAACCCTAAGACTTGGGTAGCTCACTGATCAGGTCTACTAAGACTTCTTCCTAAGAGTGATCTGGGATCCAATACAGATGTAGGGGAGCCCAAACCCTTGTCTGGTAGGCCTTAGTCTGTTAGTACATATTGTAACCAGTCACATACTTCAGGATTTCCCTCTACATTCCAGGCTACTAGTAGTTCTGAGTGATGAGTTCCTGTGTTTTGTGTCAGCCTAAATGTCCTACAGTCAGATTGTTATAATGAGCTCAGACAATGTCCTCCTACAGCTTCCAATCCTTTAAAACATACAGTTGGCCTTCCTAGTAAACCTGTCCATCCTTATCCTCCTCCTAATCCCTAGCCTGCTTTTCTAGCTACTTTACTACAACCTAGTCATGTATGTATCTTAGAGCTTACTGTATACAGGTGACAAAGTCAACATTCTTGGATTTGAGTCAGATCTCTCAGATTGTCTCAGACACAAAACAGGAATTGTCTAGGAGAACAAGATTTTTGTTATCATTCTCCCCCCTTTTGTAACCTACTTGTCTCAAGAGTAAATTAGCTTTTGTCATTTGTGTTCTAGGTTTGTGGGTTAGTACAAAGTCATAGTCCTACAGTTCTAACATCCAGTAGGCTTGACAGTAGTTGAGCTTCTAGGGTGCCTGGAAGTACTAGAGATTAAAGTGATCACTCTAAATCTCAAACTTCTGTACAGTACTGAGGAGATATTAACACTACTCTTCTAGGGAACAGACAATTGTAAGGAGTTCCTTGTTATAGATAGGGTAGTTCTGTTCTGTTACAGAGAGGGATTCTGATCAGAACACTATCAGATGCTACTTTCTGTCAATGAACTAGGACAGTACTACTCTATTTGCAAAGTTGGAAGAGTTGGCTTTAACTCAGAACTTGTTCACAACTGTTAGAACTACTAATACAGGCTTGCTAGTAATGGCCTGCTTGAGGGACTCAAATGCAGACTGCTACTGATCATTCTATTACTAAGGAACATCTTTGCTGGTAAGATTGTGAAGGGGCCAGGCAATAGTACTAAAGCCTTGAATAAAGTATTAGTAGTAGTTTACAAACCTAAGGAACACTTAGACCTGTTTCAGGTTCTAAGGTTGTGGCCAGTTCCAAACTACAGTTACCTTTGCCAGATCCATGCAGATGTCTCCTCCACTGATTACAAAGCTCAGATAATCTACTGACTCTTGTACAAAAGAGTACTTTGCTTCTTAGAGGAACAGTTTATTATCTTAGAGCTGTTGTAGAACTGCTCAGATTAGTCAGTAATAGTGCTTGACTGTCTGAGTGAAGATCAGAATGTTGTCCAGATACACACTAACATGTTCTGAGTCAATCAGATCTGTAAGAATGTGATTCATGAATGACTAGAACATTGTGAGCAAGTTGGTTAGTCTGAAGAACATTACAGTCAGTTTGTACAATCTGTAATTGGTTTGGAACACAGCCTTCTACTCATCTCTGTCTTGAATCTGAATATTATTATACTCTCATCAAATGTCCAACTTAGTGAAAACCCTGGATGTATGTATCTTATTAATGAGCTCCTGAATTAGAGGGAGCAGGTACTTGTTTTTGACAGTACTCTTATTAAGACAACAATAATCTTAGACTAAGTAGAGCTTCCTATCTTTCTTTTTGACAAAGAAGAAAGGGGAGGCTATAGAGGACTTTAAGGGTCAGATCTGGCTGTTCTAAAGATTTTCCTGAAGGAACTTGTTGAGCACCTCCTGCTTGTCTCTGTTAAGTAGGTAGACCTTACAACCCTTGAGTTAGAAACCCTTGGTCAATTCAATTATATAGTCCTAAGAGTAGTGTTTAGGAAGCTGGTTGAATTCCTCTTTACTGAAGACTTTAGGGAACTCTTGGACAAAATCCAGCAGGCTGGGTCTATGTGTGTTCTAGAGTAGAGTTGTTCTGAGAGGGTTCTGGACTGGTTCTGTCTTAAACATCCTTCAGATTGACTCTGTTCTGCCTTAACTAGAATATGTATCCACATATCTATCCTAATTGAAGAAGAACAACTGGTCACCTTCATCAGAACTGTTAGTAACATTAGAAGTGTTTGTATCTACTCAGAACAGTAGTACAAGGTAGTTGTAAGACTTAGGACACTGATCAAACACAAGTGTCTACTCTAACTAGTCAATAGTAGGGTTGTAAGCCTTAAGCTATTTGAATCCAATGAAGATGTCTGTCTTTCTAAGGTTGGTGACTTTAAACTCAATACTTTCCTTATGATCCTGAATGGTCATCCATAGTTGGACAAACTCAGTAATCTGACCATTCCAGTTTAGAGTTCTGTCTGTATTGTATACTAGGATTGGAAGTAGAATGTATTAAGTAGGGAGGTAGTGTTCCTGTACAAAGGCCTTATTAATACACAAACTAGTGTATTCACTGTTTACTAGAGCTGTTGTTTGGATCTGGGAGGATCCTAAGAAGGGAGCCAAGAGGACAGGAACCTAGAGCTAGTGTCTGGAACATTCTTGGATGAACTGCTACTTGTTCTAAAGGAAACATACAGCTTGTGCAGCCTTATTGTCTGAGAGGGTGAGTATATACACTAACATTTCCTTATTAACCTCTCTCTTTCAACAAGGACAGACTTATGTCCTCAGCTGTGAACTCAGCTGAGACTATCCCTGCTTGATACTACAGACAAACTACTAAGTAGTGAACAGGGCTGGATAGTATTCTAAACATTCTAAGATCTTAGAATGTAGAAGTAGTAGGTCAGATTGTGTGGATTTAGACTCAGATAAAGTGTAAAGAGAAGAATCAAAAGAATCAGAAGAAATAGGAGAACTATCTACTTTTGTTTCTGACTTTTTCTTTCTAATAAATAATTTAGTTGTATTTATTTTTTCTTACTTTTTCTT